TATATATATATATATATATATATATATATATATATATATTATGAAATGGACAAAGTTCGACAATTATTTTAAGACATTTTTATGTTTACACATTCTTTTTATAGATACAAATATTTAACTAAATGCTCTGTTTATAGTAAACAGCATTAAACAACATTTACCGGCCTGAATGTCCGAGAAATATTCATAGAAAATATTCGTCTTCCGACAGGATTCGAACCTGTATCCTATACGGAACCGTCATTTACCTTGACGTGCCTTTAAACTTCAATCTTCCATGAATCTCTCACGTACATTCATATCTGTTCAAAGCGCATCCAAATGTAAACAAATGACGAATGACGTCACACATTATGAAATGGACATTTTTTTGTTTATACATTCTTTTTATAGATGCAAATATTTAAGAAAATGATTTGTCCATTTAATGTACGTGAGAGATTCATGGAAGATTGAAGTTTAAATACAGTAAATTCGACCTTGCCAACCGAACGCTCCTCTGTGGCCAAATCGATGAAAGGCACGTCAAGCTAAATGGCGGTCTCGTATAGGATACTGGTTTGAATCCTGTCGGAGGACGAAAATTTTCTGTGAAAATTTCTCGGACATTCAGGCCGTTAAATGTTGTTTAATATTGTTTATGATAGACAGAGCATTTACTTAAATATTTGTATCTATAAAAGGAATGTATAAACATAAAATGTCTATATATATATATATATATATATATATATATATATATATATGTGCAATTAATTTATATATATTATTTATATATATATATATATCCACGGTACTTTTTGAAAAGCGCGAATATAATATATAAATATATAGAACGCGTGTGCATACGTATATACGCGTATGCATACGCATATACGCGTGTGCATACATACATACGCGTGTGCATACGTACATACGTGTCTGCGGGAAAACATTCGTCGAACAAAATAGACGAACGGTCAGCGCGTTGACACCGCAACTGACGAAAGATGTTTCGCAACACAATCCAATATTGAATACACCGACCAATTGCATACGTATGTACGCAACGACACATGGAGGCGCATATATGCCCAGTCCTACACTGTTCATATATGTTTATGTTTGTGTGAGCTCCAGCGAGTGAGTGTGTGTGTATGTATATCTGCGTACATCAATGAATGAACGTGCGTGTATGTATGTATGCGTGGCTTTTCGACGACAATTTTTCCTCCTACTACATAAAAACAGCGATATACGCAACCATATATCAATCCAAAATTTAAAAATTAATCAATTTATCAAACGATCGCAAATAGCGTGAAACCCAGGGTCACAAACTCATATCAATCCAACTCTCTCTCTCTCTCTCTCTCTCTATATATATATATATATATATATATATATTATTAATTAATTGATTTAAAATGTTTTTTCCGCTACACAGTTCTAACCATGTTTCAAAAATGGAAGCTAAAACCACGAATTTAATTTTGCAATTAAATTAAAGACATTAGTTCCATTTCATCCTCAAGCGAATTTAAAAAAAAAAAAGAAAAAAAAATTGCTTGAGGAACTTCGCTTGAACTGTGTAGCGGAAAAAAATCATATTTTAAATCAATTAATTTATAATATTAATGCTCTGTAAATTTACATTGAGCACTATTTTGTAAAAATAAAAATATCTATAAGAACACCGGATTATATATCTTACCGTTCTTTCTTTTTATTTAAACACACACACACACACACACACACACACACACACACACACACACACACATATATATATATATATATATATGGGGGGTGTTTGTGTAGACATTATTTGAAATTTAGCATTCGCTTGTGGATGACTTGTTATTTTTGGTGACTAGCAAATGGCTCTTTCCTCAGCATGGCTGATGCTAACCTCCAGGATATTGACTCATTTCGCCTTCTTGGGCTAACATTCTCGGCTGACATGAAGTAGAAAACTATATTGAATCCATTGATAGGTCATCTGCTAAGAAAGTTGGTTCACTGTGTCGGGTGAGACAGTGTTTCTCTCTAGAATCCATCTTGCATATCTATAAGTCTCCCATTTATCCATTCTTAGAATATTGCTGCCATATATCGTCCGGTGCCACTGATATTTACCTGGAGCTCCTTAATAAGATACAAGGAAGAATCGGCAATATCATAGGTCCTGATCTGGCGGCTCGGCTCGGCTTCTGTCACTTTCCCACCGCCCACCTGTGCTTTTTTTTTAATAAATACTTTCATGGTAATTGTTCGGATGATCTCTTCCGTATAGTATCTAGACTTTATGAATTTAACCACAGTACTAGACCAACAGCGAGATCATATCAATTTACAGTTGAGTTAGCTAGATGTAGACCTATATTCTATGATGACAGTTTCTTTTCTCGCACTTCTCGCTTGTGGAACTCCCTTCCAGCTCTATGTTTTCCATCATATTTTAATCTGCAAAAAATTTAAATGCAATGTCAATCGCTATCTACTGCTCTCTCTTTTCTCTTTCTACTCATTACTAATGTTTCTGTTCCTAATTCATCCACACCCTGTAACCCCTTGTGTGTTAGTGGCTATACTGCCTTTTTTGGAAGTCATACCGATTACTAAAACGACCCCCGCACAAAAAAAACCCAAAAAGCAAATAAAAAACAAAACAAAACAAACCTGGCAAAACACAAGGCCGTCTTATAATTAGATGATCCTTCTGTTTAATAATCGTTCAAAAATTCTACAAATATCTATTTGTCTGTCTGTTATCGAAGCAGGAGCTATGATCATCAAATTTTCTATGTTTAGTAATAGGACACAAGGGTTCTTAATTTTTTTTTTTTTTTTTGCTTTAGAAGGAACTTATAGAATAACTAAAACCCGGGGACGCATTTTAAATTTTAATGAGGCAAAATTATTAATGAAATTTGAAAATATTAAATTTTGGTTTAGCATTTCCAAAGATTAGCGATAGAGTTTTCATTTAAATCGATTTATGAAGAATCTGGTAGTTTTATTCTTTGGAGAGGCCGACAATGTCCGATTTAAATCCCTCGAGGAAGGCAAAAGAGAAAGGATTATCCACTCCTTCTTAAAGATTAAGGAATTTAGCATCCATTTAAAATATTAAGTGGCAAAGACTTGACTTAAAAATGGAAGCAATGTGCCTGGTGTCTGTAGATTTTTTTTAAAAATGGAAGCCATGTGAAGGTGTCTGTAGATTGTTTTAATATAAAAATAATTCATAAATTAGTTTTCTGTTAACTTGGGGTGCATCTGGCTATCGTTTATGGCGCATTAGTTTTCCCGATAACACCGGTTGAAAGGGTCCTAGGTATGACTGCATCTGGCAGCAGGACGTTTTGAGAAGCGTGGAACCACTTCTTAATTGCTGTTGTTCCCAGGGTGGCAACACCTGTCAGGGTCCTGGCTATGGACAAATAATGAACTCCCAAACTGAGGCCAAAACATTACGAAAGTGTAAAGATACATGTTTGTAGTAAGAATACCTGTAATACATTTTCGTAGTAAAAATGATTACCAGCAATAAATTAATGCAAAAGGAAGAGAAAAATTACCAGCAGTCAGTCAGTTATGTGCCATGCGTGATACACGCTAAGGCGATCATGTATCTTTTGATACATGACTGACGAGGCAGATTTTTTCCCGCAATATGTTGCCATTTCTTTCTGCCGTTGACCATTTGCCGCCCAAGGCTATAGAACCCGGTCTGTCCTGCTAGGTGGGGGGAGACGAAGAGGATTCATACCTTTCCCAAGGATATTAGCACGTAAGTGAATGTAATGGATTCGACTGGAATTCGAACTCGGTTCTCCGATTCCTCAATCCAAGCTGCTACCACATTTTTGAAAAGAAAAATTACCAAAGCTCCCATGAAAATTTAATTTCGACATTAAACGACCCATAAGGCGTTGATATGCCGCTAAACAAAACAAACCGGTTGAAAAATGCTGCCCAAGAACATGATTTTAGCATATGAGTTTAAAAAAAAAAAACTAAAATAGAGGGTCCGATTTTTAATGTAAATGAACTGCTAAATTCGCCCCTTACCGTCATGTTATCGAATCTTTATTTTTCTGTTAACCTCAGTGGTACTTACCATTTTCTTCTCCAGCACTTCTTTTCAGTTATTTGCACGGGATTGAACCCCCACCCACGCCTTATCAACCCTTTGCATGTTATTCAAAGCAAGAAACCTTTTTTAGATTTTATTTTTTTAGATAATAATTGTTGTGGATTCCGGGATGAAATCCGGTCTCAAATGAATGACAAACGCAGGAATGAAATATAGCAAATAAATGTATTGATGTAATAATACAATTGGTAATACGGTTAGTAGATCCAGAAATGCGGTTAGTAGCAATAATAATATATATACAATCTGGGAAATTCAGTATCGAAGTAGGACTTCCTTTTGAGTCTACGTGCTTGCAGCTGTGACTCCTACAAAGCGGTTACCTCATACTTTCACTCTCTCACTGTATCACCGTCACCCTCTCACCTCCGGGTATTCACCGGCAGCAGTACAAGTACACACTGGGCGAGTCCACTTGTATGAAAAAGGGGTGGACCCCTTAACAATAATGGTTTTAGTGATACATGTCTTATTAATTAACCCATAGTTGGGGGAAGAAGAGGTGTATTCTTATCTTTCCCAAGGGTATTTGCGCGTAAGTGAATCTAACGTACCCATCGGGAATTTGAACTCGGCTTTCCAATTAGCTATTCCGAGCCATTATCCATTACACCACTCGCACATCCAAGCTTACAAAACCTGGTATTCCCAAACAGTCAGATAGATACTGGCCAGGCTCGTAAAAAATTTCAACCATAACAGAAAGACTACTTTTAACATTTTACTTTGCATTGTTTAGTCTTAATATTCTTGCAGTTTTTGCCAGTTTTACTCTGGCCTTCTAGTGTATACAGCATCCAGTAATCTTTCAGTGTCGTCTTGTTGAGCCATTATCCATTAGACTACGCACACATCCAAGCTTACAGCATCTGGTATTGCCAAGTTATCACCCATCTAGGTACTGGTCAGAATCAACATTGCTTAACTTCGGTGATCGTACGGGAACCGGTATTTCAACGTGATGTGGCCGTAAGCCAGTGCTCACATTGCACTGATAAACGGTACAGAGTTAAGACAACAGAGTTATCGCGAATTACCGGAAGTAGGTATTTACTTGATGCCCCACTGAGTCAGGATGTGATACAAGGTCGGTTTTAACGTGGGGAACCCGAGTGGAAACACTCGGGCCACTGGTCTAAGCTGGTCTTAGCTGGTCATATCTTGTCCAAGCTGGTCAGAGCTGGTCTAAGCTAGTCATAGCTGGTCTTGTTTGTCATAGCTGGTCCAAGATAGTCATAGCCGTGATACCACCAACACAGGGCCAGAGCACAGGTACCAGGTAAGTACCGGAAGTGGTCAGAAGTGTTAAGTGGCTGGCTCAGATCACAGAATGGTGAACTTGCGCATATTGCAGTTGCAACTGTAAGAAGCATAGGTAAAAAGGACATACCAATCTAGGCTGAGAGAGTACAACCATCTTACTACTTTATTAAATGTATAAATCTCATATTTCCTCTAAGCACTTATTTCATGAGAATGCCTAACGCTGAAACAGTTGAATGACACTGTTCAACTGTATAAATATGTCAGAAAGATTCCACATTATAAACTAATAAATAAAACTATATAAACTAGTTATGGCCTTAAGAGAGTCGTCCAAAAATTTCTAAGCCTCACCCAGAAGGCGTTGGAGAAACAAAACAGGTTTTCATTATTTTCCAATATAGTCACCCTTGACATCAATTTACTTGGTTCAACGATTCTTAAACATTTCAATCACATCACGAAAGAAGATGTCTTTCTGGTCCTCCAAAAACTCCTTCATAACACATATGATCTCTATTTACATTATTCGGAGTATTGTCCTCATCTTTGTCGCCATATTTATTACAACGTTTCGGCCGTTGTACGCCCCGGCCTTCTTCAGGCGGTTTGAATGTCGAACTGAACCCCTTATTTCGCTCACTGGGGTAGACTGTTCTAGTTCCACGTGCCATGTTTAATGGATGTCAGTTGTCAGTTATCTCCTGTTAATTCCCCCTCTCCAAGTTCTCTACTGCCTTAACCGGGTATTGAACTCACAGTCTTTTGGGTCCTGTCACTGGATCTAACTAACGCCTTTGACACATGGCACAGTTGATAAAGGCTTGAGAATCCAAAACACAGAAGCCATCACCTTTTACTAACAGACGCTGCATATGCTTGAACTTGTTTGGATAAACAGAGTTGCTTATATTATTACTTTGCACCTTTGATTCAGGTTCGAAGTTGTAAACCCAGGTTTCATCTTGAGTTACTGATATGCGGTGGGAATTATCAGGGTCAGCCTGGAAGTGAGTCAGAACTGTCCTGTAAATGTCAACCCTTTTCAGCTTCTGCTTTGGTGTCTTTGAATCCATCTTGCAAGTAGCATGCTCATCCCCAAGATTCTAGTTAAAACATTATGAACCGAACCAGAGCCAACGCCTATGGACTCAGGTATCTTCTAAAAAGTAAGACATCTGTGATCGAAAACTATACGGTAAATGGCATCAAATTGTTCATCAGTAGTTGAGATTTTTGGACAATCTCACTAAGGGTCATCTCTGTTGTCCCTATTCCGTTTATATTCCGTAGACCACTTCGTTACAGTTGCATAGGAAGTGGGGTACTCAGTGTCTGTACGGTATCCTCATGGATTTCCTTAGGTGTTAATCCTTTTTTTTGGTAGATACTTTATGACTACTCGAGCCTCTGTTTTGTTCATTTTTAGATATGTCGCACGCCCCTCACCTTTGTACGGGCGTCACCTGTACTTAAGACATAGATCTGAATTAGTTTCTCTATTTTTATGAGAAGTGGTAGCGTTTTGCCACAATAAATATAATCAGAAAACATGGCTCCTCTTTTTGGGTGAGGCTTAGAACTTTTTGAACGACCCTCGGATCTTTCTCTTTTTTTATGACTATCTTTGCCGATCGCTAAAAAGTCAAAACTGAAAATAAACGCTGACTGATTCTATTTACGTTAAAAAAAATCCAGCATTTTTAATATTGAAACGTTTTCAAGATTTAGTTTCTGTTGTTGGTCGTTTCTACGGAGATGCTATTTAATATCTGAAATATTGAATGTAACTTCTCGTTTTTCAAATGTAGTTTCGTTTTTACAAACTTTTGCGCCAAAGTCGATTTCATATACAATCTAAATGAGCCTATGAGCCAACTATATATTTTTTTAATCGATTCACCCCAATCAAGGCAGTAAAGCCACTAAGACACAAGGGGTTACAAGACGTAGAAGAATTAGAAAACAGAAACATTACTAAGGAGCCAGAACAAAAGAAGAGTAATCAGGAGGCAGTAGATAGCGATTGACGTTGCATTTACATTTTTGAAGATTAAATGGAGCCGGAAGGGAGTTTACCACAAGCGTAAAGTTTCCAGAAAAGAAACTGAATTTATGGTTACATCTAGCTAGCTCTACCGTAAATTGATCTTGACATCAGTCAGGTACTGCACTTAGATTCATAAAGTCTAGGTACCATAGGGCTCATACGAACAATTATCAGGAAAGTATTTATAGAAAAGGCACAGGGAGGCAACTTTACGGCGGTGGGATGTGACAAGCCGAGATGCCAGATCAGGACCAATAATATTCCTGATTCTTCTTTGCATTTTATCAAAGATCTATAGATATATAGCAAGAACACTGGACCATATGTTTAAGCATTATTCTAAGCATTGACGAATGGTAAACTTATAGATTTGTAAGATAGATTCTGGAGAGAAACATTGTCTCGCACGAAACAGTGAACCGCCTTTCTTAGCAGCTGACCTAGAAATGGATTCAATATAGTGTTTTCCCTTCATGTCAGCCGAGAACGTTAGCCAGAGAAGGCGCAATGAGTCACTGTCTCGGAGGTTAGCATCAGCCATAATGATGGAAACTAGAAACGGCTCTATCAGATTATCAATTCGTTTTGTAGGCGTTTTAACAAGTCATTTTTTCTCAGTTAAGAGCAGGCTGAAGATCGTTTTCGACATCAGCCGCCATTTTGACCTTATCGAATTGATCGGACGTACTATCGGGACAGGAGTGAATGGTTGTGTCATCAACATTGATATCATGTTGAGAGCTTAAGCTACCAGGAAGGTTATTAATAAGATTATTATTATTATTATTATTATTATTATTATTATTACTATTGCATGTTAGGACAGCAAAGCAACAAAAATCGTTAGAAACAAAAAAGAAGATAGCTGGATTGCTATATGATATCAATCCTCTTGGATGGCAGTGAATGCTAGACAATCTCACTACAGATGAAGAGGAAACTAGAAGCAACAGAAATGTGGTTCTGCAATAGGTTACAGAGAATTCCATTGACGGAACGAGTAAAGAGCAAGCAACCAACATCAATACAAATGAAACGCCGCCATTATGAAGGCAATCAACTGAAACGTACGTAATAAGATGATGATCTTGCTCATCTTGGAATTCATCAAACAGCTTAGTATAAATTTTATGGAACTCTCCAGTCATTTTGTTCATTTCCCCGGGGTGGGAAATTAATAGTTTCCATACGTAACTATACTCATTCGTTTTAAAGGTCACAAGGTCGGCCGATTCTGAATATGTTTACAGAATGTGCACCTTAAGATTAACAGTACAGCCGTTTGTACAAAGACTCATAAGATTTTGTAGATTTCTCTTACATTTTTATAAATGTATACAATATTTAACCGCCCTGTGTAAGACGATGAACTATATCCGCGTCCCCGGTAAAACGATAAACAACGTGCGCGTCCTGGTTAAGACGATAAATTGCATCCGCTTCCTCGGTAAAACGATAAACTACATCCGCGTCTTGGGTAAGACGAAAAGTTACATTCGCGTCCCGGGTAAAACGATAAACTACATCCGCGTCCCGGGTAAGACGATAAATTACATCCAACAGCAAGGCTTCTAATCAGAGGGTTTTGAGGATCGTGGAACCACCTCTTAATTACTGGTGTTCCCAGGTGCACCCTGACTCGAGGTGGTAGCATCTGTAAGGATTCCAGCTATGGAAAAATAGTTAACTACCCCACAAAAGGGGTTAAAACACTACGAAAATATAAAAATAAGTTTTAATACCAGCATTTCTGAAAAGAAATATTAGCAGCAATACATATTTGAAGAAAAAATATTAGCAGCAATAGATTTTTTGAAAAAAAAAGTATTAGTAGTGTTGTGTCGTGGCACAATAGTAAAAATAAGAAAATCAAGTCAAAGTTGGTTTAAGGAACAAGTGTATTTAACATCACAGATACAAAGGTAGGAAACGGGTACTACTCAGCTAGGCAGTTGTAGTACTGTCGCTGCTTACACCGGGTAGGTATTACTGGCACTATATATAGTGAGAACCGGTGTAATTCCCTTGTGTTAGAGGCCGGTGCAACACCCCTTTGAAAATATCCCGTCTGGGAATTAATAACGTTTTTTTTGGGTTCACCCCTAATCAGCTCCGTTGATTTCCGTTTTCTTTCTGACCTCCTATTCTCAGGAGCTGTCTCTGGTATGGGCACCTGAAAAGTATCAAACACTATGTCCATGATGTCCTCCTCAGGCGATCTGGTTACCTCACTGTTCGAGTATCTTTTCCGGATTTGGTTAGTGTGACGTTTGTGCACGAAATCTGGTTCTTAATCATATAGACCATGTTGCCTATTTGTTTCTCAATAGTGCCGGACTCCCAAAAAGGTCCTATTATTTCTATGCATCTTGTAGAAAACTCTTTCGCCAACTTTATACCGTTTTTTTTGTTATTGGTTTTTGAGGTTTGGCCTATCCTGGTTTGGTAACAACTTGTGGAAAATTGATCTAACCTTGCGTCCGAACATGACCTCAGCAGGTGTCTTCGACGTTTCGATGTTTGCATACGGAGTGACCCTGTAAACTTGTAAGAACTGTTGGATTGACTTATCCGTCGGTGATCCACTAGCCTTTCTCAGGGCTCTCTTGAACATATCCACGAATCTCTCCGCTTGCCCATTGCTTCTTGGATGGTATGGT